TACTTTTTAGTTTGATATGCTTTAAAAGCGTGTTTTTTAGTTTTTTTAAAGTATATTTATTTTTAATTTTTTAGTTCGATTTATTGTTTTCAATATTGACATCGGCATGCTCTAACAGGAAATCGATGATAAGCCGACGTCCTTTTGATATAGCTAGATGTAAAGCAGTAGATCCATTTTTACCTTCCTTTTATTAACTCGGGATGTAACTATGTAATATTGATGCGCCTAAAAGATGAAGCGATTTCTATTCTCAAGTTACATACCTGATGACAGTACGAATGGCAATTATAATAGGGAGGTCTTAGTTTTTTAAACTATAATTTTATTTTGCTAGAGCATTGACTTCAGCGCCCTTTTTTTAGAAGATACTCGAACGACAGCGAGGTGCTGCAACGAGTAATCTTCTAAGTCATTAATAGTACAAGTTATATTAACGTTGGCACCCCGATTTAGAAGCAATTCAAAGATTTCTATTTTGCCAATATAACCAGCGAGACTCAGTGGTGTAACATTTAAATTATTTTTCACAATCGGCTCCGCGATTGAATAATGCTCGTACAGCATCGAAATGATTATTTTCTACTGCTAAAAGAAGTGGCGTATTGCCAAATTCATCTTTGCAATTAATATCAGTACCGCGGTCAAGCAGTGGAAGATAGATAGCGTTACATCATTTATTTTCAGCCATAGACGGGATTTGAAATCATGTCTGGTAAGTTCGTTGTCTCGCGCCTACGACTTGCGCCTTAGCCCGCATGACCAACTGTGCAACTGATAGGGATAGAATGTATTAACACTAATAAGACGAGTGCTCGAGTCGGAAAGTAAGTAGACGGTACGCATGCGCAGACAGCGTAGTTGTCTCACTTGCTCTCACACAGAGGCTGGCGATCCTAATCAGGATAATGAGATAAATTTATGAAATTATTATATTGTCGCTGATTCTTGATAAGTGTACAAAGTTTGAATTAAATCTGTCTGTTTAAAGTGGGTCAAAATCGAGTCCAAAGGAGTCGGTTACAAACATACATACATACAAACATACAGGTGAAGCTAATAAAAGGGTGCTAAAAACGGATTGTAAGTTGTAGGCAAAAGCCATACAATTATTCAAAATTTTTGTTATTAAAGCGAAAGTTATTTTGGGGATAACTAACAACACTCGACAAAAAACGTCTGCACTCTTTTTAAATAAATTATACTACACCATATTATAGAAACTGATACGTAACGACCCAGCGATATGCCCAGAAAAGGACTGCTCTTTTTAACCGACTTCACAAAAAGGAGGAGGTTATCAGTTCGTCGGATTTTTTTTATGTTACCGCATAACTTTGGACCACATTAACCGATTTCTATAATTCGTTTTTTAAAGGAAAGGTATTACCCAGACTAATTTGGTTTAAATCCGATCATTTGATCATGAAGAAATTAACGATAATCTTAAATTTTTATATGGGAATTGAAGTCGGTTTTGTTTCTTTGCTTAAAAATACTTGTTGTTGTATTAATTTCTTGCGCATATCAAACATTATCTGAACCATCATCTGATACCTTTTACAGTACAGTTTAAGGAAGTTCCAACGTTATGTTAAACCTTAACAAAATCCTAAAGTATTTTGTTTGTGTAAGATAATATTACAGAAACAAAATACACGGGAAAAATTACCGAACACCTAGTAACCGAGTAACAAGCTCGGTGGAAAGAATACTATTACAAATCTGTATGCTTAGAATTGAAAATTCAGTACAAATCAAGGCGAATTTATATAAGGTGGTGTTACTAGCTCAGCTGATTTTGTGTATGTGTTTCGCCGCACAGCTTCTGATATCAAATTGAAAAATTTTGTTTGAATTTCTACACACACTCTTACAGATTTTGACAGTTTATGCCGCCAAAGCAAAAACAAAATACATGTAAATTTTTGTTTTTGTACTCCTGCTATCACCTTATATTAATTCGCCTTGGTACAAATCAGTACAAATTTTGAAAAGTCAGACCATTAGCGTACTGACTGAAGAAATTAATAAAATCAGTACGAGAGTTAAAAAATCAGTACTGTACTGATAAAATCAGTACGTCTGGCAACCGTAGCTGCGTTTGCCAGAGACGACTCCATCCGAACTCCTTTTAGGTGCTTCGAACTTCGGTTAGAACCTTTTCTATCAAATGAGCTGACCACCTACGCCAGATAGATCCCGGGGATCCTCGCCTGTAGGACCTTAATTTGGAAATTCGGCAACTGGTAAATCATGATTCAATAATAAATGGTAAGATAATTACTGACCGTCGCGGTTTGACACTCCCTTACAAAAGGTTGCATATGCGAAGGACGAAGAAAGGGGGAGAATTAAATCCCTTGGTGCGAAAATGGTAGTAGAAAAGTACGCAAAGTAGGCAATTAGTAGGGAAATTCCTTTTGTAAATTCTAATGTGTGTGCGGGAAATTTGGCATTTTAATCGAAATATCGTGAATTATTTAATTTATGTGCTATTTAACGGTACTAAACCTGAAAAATTAAAACAAAACTACTCAAAATAAAATAAAACTACTATGATTTTATGCAAACATCGAAAACAATTTATGTTTTCATCAGTTAAATGTTCTTTATAGCACATACCAATAACATTGCACAAAAACCAGGGATGGAATTTAAAAATTTCAAAATGTGCCAAATGGTCTTCAACAATAGTGCCGAAAACAAGATGAAAGTGCCATAAAGTTAAATTTTTTAAGGCGTTTTAAGAACAATATATTTTTACACTGAAGTAATATAATAATTATTAATTAGCTAAATTATTACAGTAAATCACTTTTATGAAGGATTCCTTAGACATATACATAAATTCGTAAATTCCAATTACTGAGGGGAAATACACCGAAATATAGGTATTATGACAATTTTACACACATATATGTACATATGTACCTATATGCGAAATAATGGCAGTCAGACACTTTGACCAGTTTCGCCTATTTTGTTCACTGAGTATTTTTCGAATGATTTTATATAAAAGTCTAATTCATAATTTAATAAACACAATATATGTACAAAAATCGTTATTTCAAACTTTATAATATTATATAATTATAAAAATTCAGCAGGTTTTCCCAACAACAAACTTGCATGCATTTTTTCCATATAAAGTGTGTTCCAAAATTTTTTAATGGACCGTTAGAAAAAAATACCAAAAATTATCGGGATATTGCAGAAACTTGCACTTTTATTTAATGGACTATAAAACTGCAAACTTAGACTCTTTCTAAAAATTCTGAATTAAAAGCTTGTTGTTGCGAAAACTTACTTTTCGTACTGCGTATTCACAATAGAATTCAGCGGTTTGTAAATATTT